AAAAATACAAAAGTATCTGATTTTAATAAATCACAAAATTTTAATTTTCTTTCCCTCGAAAAATTCCAGTAACGAGCAGATTGCTCCTAACGAAGAAACAATTCCAAAGAGTTTGATTAAATGTTTCTCGCATAAAAAAATTCTGCAGAGTTTATCCTTTAATCCCTTAATTCCTGGTATAATCGTGAACAGAATTACGAATTCGTTCTGTATACCGCTCCTTTCTGTGTCGTTAATTCTTCCCTGAAAACAGGAATTCGTTCTGCTGCGAATTAGCGTTTCCCAAGGCAATCACGGAAAGTTCATTTTTGGAAAATTAAGCGACACGTGAGCGGAAAGTTTGCCGCGCGACGAAACTGCTTCCCGAAAACTCGGTCGAAATTCCTGTTCCCCACGATGTTAATAAAATGTCCACGCGCACACAGGAGGTAAATACGAATTTGCGGCCGCGCCCGGAAAACCGCTACGCGCGACCGATTCCTCGTAAATATATATTAACGCGACTGCTGTTTCCTGCAAGTGGTTGCACGTTAACACAGTTGAATTTCAAGAGACTTCGATCCGTGCTCGAACTCTGTTGCTCGTGAAACAGGAAAATAAGAGGGATGTTGCAGTTCGTGTTGTTTATATTCTTTGTTCCTTTTGTAATTGTTTGAATTCGTTTTTATTTTATTGTGTATTTTTAAATGAATTTTTGGGGCCTTGTTTAGAGTAATTTTTGTAATTTAGGATATTGCTCTGTTTCGATTGAAGTTGGAAAAAAATTTTTGATTGTTTAACAAAGTATAATATTCCATGACACGATTTTTGTTATATGTATTAAAAATCGACACTTTTGTATTTTTTTTAATTGAAATTTTTGAGATTTGAAGGTAGAAAGTTCCGAGTAAGATTCAAAGAATTTTGTTTAATTTAAAATTTTAAGATTAATTTTTGAGAAAATTAACTTTTGTTGTGGAAGGTTAATACATTGTTAGTTTTACTTAAGATAGAAGGCTTAGAAATTTTGAGAAAAAGTAATTGAGAGAGCTTAGGAATTTTGAGAAAAAGGTAATTGAGAAATCTTAGAAACATTGAGAAGAAGGCAATTGAGAGAGCTTAGAAATTTAAAAAAACAGTGTAATTGAGAAAGCTTAGAAATTTTGATAAAAGGGTAATTGAGAGAGCTTAGAAATTTTGAAAGAAAAGTAATTAAGAAAGCTCACAAATTTTGAGAGAAAGTGTAACTGAAGAAGCTTCGAAATTTTGAGGAAAAGGTAATTGAGAGAGCTCAGAAATTTTGAGAAAGAGTATAATTGAGAAAGCTTATAAATTTTGAGAGAAAGTGTAACTGAAAAAGCTTCGAAATTTTGAGAAAAAGGTAATTGAGAGAGCTTAAAAATTTTGAGGAAAGGGTAATTGAGAGAGCTTCGAAATTTTGAGCAAAAGGTAATTGAGGAAGCTTCGAAATTTTGATTAATTTATTTAAGAAATACTGTAAGAAAAAAGCATTGAATTTGATGATAAATTTATTCTGTTACCAGTGAAATTTTGTATTTTCCAATTTTTCTAGTCTCTCGATGCTCCAGTTTTCGTAATTTTCATTTTTCGTCTGATAACAAATTAACATGCACTTACCGGGATCTCTGGAGCAGCCAGATTCTTCTCGTCGTCCTTACTCAGCTGTGCAAAGCTGAAATACGAGGGTAGAATCTTGTAGGAGAGAATATTCGACTGATAGTTCGACTGGTCCCTGAGCTGCGACTTCTGCAGCTCCTCCAAGTGACTCTTCTTCGCCGCAGCCACTTCCGGTGTATCTTGAATCGCCTGCAGCTCGTTCTTAGGCGGCTGTGGTAGATTACTGGCGCTCACTCTGAATCCATTTTCATCGTCTGCCGTGTAAGTCACCGTTTGCAGGATTCCGTTTGCATCGATGTACGAATAGCCTAAAAAAAAGAAGGAAAATTTATAGAATTGAGTTATTGAAGGGACAAATATTTCTAAGAATCCTGAGACAAATTTGAATGACATTATTGCGGAGATATTTGTGAATATTTTCCAAGAAATTTCGGCAAAATATTTTTAAAAAAATTCCTTTGGAATAAATCCAAAACTGTTTCAGAGAAATACAGTATATTCTCTACAAGTGTCAGTCAGTTTGGATTCTACAAGTGTCAGTATAGATGGTCTTATAGATGGTTTTATTCGCTGTCCTTGTCTACGTTCGGCAAACTACAAAGGCGGGCGCGAGGCACGAAAACGTATTCCCTGACTCTACAAGTGTCAGGTTTAGGTTCCTTGCGACTGACACTTGTGGAGAATTTACTGTACTTTTGAAACAATTCTGAATATTTTCAAAGAAATTGTTGGAGAATAATTATAGAAACTTTCCCATATATATTTTTGGAATAATTCCAAAACTATTTCTAATCTTTCTCACATGAATATTTGCAAAATGGTTGTAGAAATAACTCTGAATAGTTTCGAAGAAATTATTGGAGAATAATTATAGAAACATTCCTTTGGAATACTTCCAAAAATTTTCAGAAAAATACTTTCACAATAATTACAAAACCATTCCCAAATATTCCCCCAAAAGAT